TTTTTTATTTCCTTTTAATATTTACATTAAAAAAAAAAAAAAAAACTTTAATACTCGTATATCACGATATTAATAAAATTTATTAATAAACAATTATTAAATTTATTTATTTATGTATTATTAATATTATTATTATTATTATTATTATTATTATTATTATGGTCACTCTTAAACACGACAAGGCTCTTATTTGTCGGGGTTGTTAAGTATTTATCCCAGGTCTCTACCCGATTCCTTAGGGACAAATACTCGAATATCGGTGGTGCTATTTATAATATTTTCCGAAGAATGTGGGCCGTCCCACATAGTGCGATTTCCTGGATGGTTTCTTCTTTTAGGTTCTTCATAATCTTCTTTAAATTTCCTTTTATTGAATGTGGCATGGCTCCCAATGCTCCCACGATGACCGGAATCGTTTCAGTTTTTGTTCCCCACATCCTGGTTATTTCAATTTCCAAATTTCTGTATTTCAGCCTTTTGTCTGCTTCTTTGGCTGTGGTGTTTTTTTCTGCCGGCACGGATACCTCAATTAACTTACACCATTTTTCCCCATTATGCCTGAGTATGATATCCGGTTTGTTAGCTGGCACAGTTCTATCAGTGTGGATTTGTTGATCATATAGAACTGTGCATGGACCTACTGTCGTAACCGGGCTTGGAATGTGGTTGTACCACTCCTTGGGTAATCCATCCATTCCATATTCTCGGCATATACTCCAATGGAGATATTGACATATTTTATTGTGCCTTTCTAAATATTCATGTTTTGCCAGTATCGGACAACCGGAAATTAAATGATCGATGGTTTCCGATTGTGATTGGCAAATTCGGCACTTGTCATCTTGGCGGACTTTGAGAATTACTTTTTCATAGTTATGGGTCCGCAATGCCTGATCTTGAGCCGCTGTAATAAACGCTTCTGTTTCTATTTTAAGTTTTCCACGTCGTAGCCAATTGTGCGTGCTCTTCTTATTAATATCTTCGGCATTTATTCTTTTTAGGTATTGCCCATGTAATTTTTTCTGTTCCCATTTGCCTATTAATTTCTTCTGAGATTGGGCTTTGCTATTATAAGTTGCAAGTTGCCCCTCTTCCATTATCTCATTTTCTTTATTTTCTTGGACGATTTGTTTTGCCCTTTTCAGAACTCCTTTTTTTGTAGTTTTTTTTTCTGCATGTATAACTTGGGCTAAGATGGGGTCCTCTCGATGGGATTCTATGTATTTTCCCATTCCAATTATGGCATTCTGGTATGCCGCTTCTATTTGTCTTAATCCTCTTCCTCCATCTTTCCTGCTGACGTACAATCTATCCACATCAGCTTTTGGATGTAACGCACCATTCATGGTTAATATTTTTCTTGTCCTTCTATCTAGGTGCGTGATTTCTTCTTTCGTCCAGTCTACGAGGCCAAAACTATATTCTATTACAGGAACTGCTAATGTGCCGACGGCGGTTATCTTATTTCTTCCATTTATTATTATTATTATTATTATTATTATTATTATTATTACTATTATTATTATTATTATTATTATTATTATGTTTTATTTTAATCGAAATATTTTTTTAGTTAAAATGGATTTTAAGATTGCAAAAGGATAAAACAAAGAAAAAAAAAAAACCAAAAACAAAAAACGAATTTCAAGAGTAATAAATATTAAGTTGTAGGAAAAAAAAAAGCGGCGGTGGTGGTGGCGGTGGCGGGGGTGGTGGGGGTGGCGACGACGTAGAAGAAGAAAAAAAAAACTGGAGAAACTGGAGATTGTTTTTCCCTTTTTTTTTTTTTGGCATTATGAACTCTTTTGTGGTTTTTTTTTATTTTATTTATTTACGTATAAGAACAACAAAAACTACAACAAACAACAAACAGCAAACAACAACAAACAACAAACAATGTGCATAACATTTTTTTTTATAAATTTTCCCACGTTTTATTACTTTAATAATTTTTTTTTTAACCTTACAACAACAACAAAAAAATTTACATAAAATCCATTAAAATAAAAAAAAAAAAAATTTCTCTTCAAGCCTCGTATCAAATTTTTAAATCCCAACAAGATTATTATTATTATTATTATTATTATTATTATTATTATTATTATTATTATTATTATTATTATTATTATTAATATAATTTTTTATATTATTATTAATTAAAGGATGTGTAATTGATAATTAATATCTACTACGTATATATCGTGATGAGTAATAAAAACAATATTTACAATAACAATCCATTAACATTATTAAAAAAAAAAAAAAAATTTTCCAGTTTTAATTCTTCTAATTATTTTCTTCATCTTTTCCTTTCGTTACAAAAAAACAAAAACAAACGAAAAACAAACAGAATTCGAGTTCTCTCTCTCTCTCTCTCTAAAAACAATCAAAAAAATTAAATGTTTTGTGGGAGCTGAAGAGGGGGAGGAGGAAGAGGAAAAAAGGGAAAAGGGAAGAGAAAAAAAGAAATTAAATTTGTCGCACATACGCTAAATAATTAATAATACGTCACCGCACCGAATTAAAAACAAAACACATACTCATCATCATCATCATCATCATCATTATTATTATCATTATTATTATTATCATTTTTTTTTTTTTGATGAGCGTAAATAAAAAAGAATTATATATATATATATATATATATATATATATATATATATATATATATATATATAAGTAAGTGTTTAATTTAAAAAAATTTTTTATCGGATCCGGAAAAACCATGTTACTTATTTTTATTAAATTTCAAAACACAAACAAACAAACAAACGGAAACACGATCTCATAATTAAACATAATTAATTTACCCCAGTTTGTAACACAAACATATTTTTTTTTTGTTTTCAATCCGTTTAACCATAATAATAATAATAATAATAAGGAAAAACTTATGTGCTTATTACTCACACGATTTTTATAAAATAAATTTCGATTATTGATTATTATTATTATTATCATCATCGATTTTCCCCGTTTAAAATTTTAAGGATGATAATTTTTCCCGCCTTTTTTTTTTTTTTTGAATATTATTATTAATTAACCCTCGTTTAAACCCTCTTATTAAAGGTTATTAGTTCGTGACGTCATTTTCATACCCCGAAAAAAAAAAAAAAAGTTAGTTGAAGTAAATTTTTTGAACTCCTCCCTCCTCCTCCCGTTTCTCCCTCACTCTTCGGAAAATTCCTTCGGGAACCCTTTCGGGCAACCCTTCGAATTTTATAAATAATTTTTATTTTTCGTAATTAGGGGGAAGAAGGGATCAGGTGGGGTGGGGCGAGATTGGGCGGGAGGGGGGGGTTTTACCTGTCAATTAAATATTTTTATCATCACTTTTATCATCATATTAATAATCTATTTATTATTATTATTATTATTATTATTATTATAATTGGGTTTATTAAATGATGAACACGTCATTTTATTTATTAATAACTAATTAACGAATTAAAATAAATAAATAAATAAAATGTCGACGATAATTTATTAGGAAGAAAAAGAAAGAAAAAATAAAGTTAATTTTCACGTTAACAAAAACCTTAAAAGTTTGTTTTATTATTATTATTATTATTATTATTATTATTATTATTATTATTATTATTTCTTTTCTTGTTAAAAGCAGGCGCATTAAATTTTTCCCTCGGGAAATTTAAATTTCATTTTGAAATCAGTGAACAAACAAAAACTTGGGCTTCCAGTGATTAATGCAATGGGGGGGTTCGTTTAACAGGAGCAGCAGCACAAAAAAAAAATCATAAAAAATGCAATTTTTCAAACCCATTTTGAAAACCCCTGGAAATCCTGGATCGGAAATCAACGACGACCACGATGACGACGATGACGTAGAAAAAAAACTATTTTTAATAATAATAATAATAATAATAATAATAATAATAATAATAATAATAATTTTTAAACAAAGGAGCAAAAATTTCATCCATTAAATGACCCGCCGCCATTTGTCTCTCCCATATTAAAGAAATAAAAAAAAAAAAATTTTTTCTTTCCTTTTGTTCGAAGTGTTAATAATAATAATAATAATAATAATAATAATAATAATAATTTTCATTAACACGATTTTATGTATTTCGTTTTGATAAACAAACAAACAAACAAGCAAACAAAACGTTTAAAAACACGTGAAATTTTCACGGTTTAGTTGTCTTAAATTTTCCATCGATAAATTTTCTCTTAATAAAAAAAAAAAAAAAAAAAAAAAAAAGATTAATATTAATAATAATAATATCGATGATGATGATGATGATGATGATGATGATAACCATGTACGGAAAACTCTATTTTCTGTTGAAAATTAATTATCTAAAAAACCCAGAAGTGTTTTCCCGTCCTGTGGGATAGCAAAGAAAAAAAAAAAAGTTATTGCCAGATGTCAATTTAATAAATTGCCCTGTTTCTATTCAAGTTGAAATTTTTTTTTTTGTAAAAATCGTAGGAGCTGGAGCTGGAGCAGGAGTTGAAGGAGTAACAACAGCAACAACAGCAGGAGCAATTTCTCTCTTTTAGCACCAGTTAATATTTTCTTATTATCTTGGGAGAGCAAAAGTTTTTTTTTTGCTTTGAATCTACAACATTGAAATTGAAAATACTAAAAAGTAAAAGAATTAGTTTTAAAAATAAAAAAAAATTAACTCGATTTTTACTTTTCCTCTTTTTCCTTCTTTTCCTCCTTTTCCTCCTTTTCCTTCTTTCTTTCTTTTTGTTCTTTTATAGGGGAAAAAAAATTTTTTTTCATTTTACTTTTAGATTTGTTTTTGAAATGTAAAAAAAAAAAAAAAGAAGAAGAAAAAATTTTCTTTTCTTTTATTACGTAAATGTTTTAAATAAATTTTTATTTATTGATCGTAAAACAAAAAAAAAAAAAAATTCGTCACAACTCCTTCCATTTTTTTTGTTTGTTTGTTGTTGTTGTTGATTTTACAAAAGTTTTTTTGAAATATTTAAAAAACATCCGTTATTATTATTATTATTATCACTATTTATATTAAACCTAAACTTTGTGCTTTAGATAATATTTCAGCTGATGTTTTAGGAAAACATCTTCTTAAATCCATCCAATCATCCGAACAAAGTACCAAAACTTCTACTAACGTTCTCGCTCTGTACGTGAATTCGTGAGGTATGGAAAACCATAAACCTGAGGATTCACCAAAATATTCCCCGCTTTTCCTTATCCCGATAACCGTTTCCATGTAATCCTGTTCTTTAATGACGTAAACTTCTCCCTTGTGTATGAAATACATTCTGTGATCCACATCGAATTGTTCGACTATGGCTTGACCGGAAAAAAATATTTCACGTTTCATAGTCGCGAGCAATTGTTCCAAAAATATCGTGTTTATATTTTCGAAAAGTGGAAATTTAAGCAAATGTTTAAAATAAAGATCTTTCATAATGATTATTTTCAAACTCAACGGACATTTTTCTAAAAAAAGTGGCATGTTTTCCGATCTTCCAAAATCTAATAGATTTAATTTATAATCGACTACGCTTTTTATTATAGACGGTGACGTTTCGTTGTCCTGTAAAAAAAAAATCAATCATTTTTTTTTATTTTTCTTCTCTCTCTCTCTCTCTCCGTGTAAATAATAATAATGATAATATTTATATATATATATTAACCTCTAAAAACGTATTCAATTGTAATATTTGCGATTTGTAATTGAATTTAAATAAACCTCTCGCGTGGGTTATTGAAAAAACTTGACTTATCAATATTCCTTTTAGATAAGGTACGAGCATGCCAAAAATAATCATAAAAAATATGTGTATATTCGTACTCGGATAAAGTATCGAAACGCCGGTCGATGAAAAAAAATCCAACTGGAAAAAAATAATAATAAATGAGAGACAGAGAGAAAGAGGGGGGGAGGAGGGAAAGGGGAAAATCATAAATAACAAAAAAAAAAAAAAAATCATACGATGTCTTCGCAAGCGCTTAAAAAAACACCAATCTGTCGAATATTCAATGAAAATGGATTTCTAACAACGTGATCATCCGGATACGGTGTTATTATGACAATAAATGCAGACAAAAATATCAGGCAAACTAATAAATATAATAAAAGATGTAAATAAATCAATAAATGATTCGCTTTTAATTTTTTCGATTCGTTTCTTATGTCTCCGAACAAGTGTATGCTTCGAAAAAGTCTAAAAATTCTCAACCACGAGACTACTTTCGAATTAACGTCTCGTAAATTTTTAAACGTTAATATGTATAATATTTCGAAGGGGATAAGTGCGAGTAAATCAATGAAAAACCCGTCACCTCTTTTCATATATTTAAGTGCTATGAATTTCAAATCCGTTATGACGTCACCTTTAACCTTATCCATGTACCCGACGAAAAAATTACATATAATGCATAGGAGCCAACATAAATCTAATATTGCAATGACGGAAAATGCTTCATTCGTGAGACAGCCGAATATGCCGAAAAATGGCACGGCGGATATGCTTAGAAAAGCAATTATTTGTACGAAAGTTAATAATATTTTGATTTTCCACGTTCCCGGATATATAATGAACAAACGTTTTTTTTCATCCGATCTAAATTTCAATGATTTCCTTATAACGATGGTAACTTTATTTGTTTCTTCGAAATAACTTTCGTCTTCGAATCCGAAAACTTTACTCTCCAATCCGAAAGCGTGTAAAACATCTCTGCTGTCGACCGGATGTGCTTGATATTTATTTTTTACAACTCCCGAATTGAAAAAATTTTCCAAACTTTGTATTACTTTTAAATATTGCGTTTCGATTGTGTCGAAATTATTTAATATTGAAAAAAAATCATTTGATGATATTTTAAGGAGTTCCGTGTGGGTCAAAGCGTAGATTTTATTTCTCATGACTCCTGTGTGATTTAAATCTCCTATTAGGGATCCATCCGTGAGTATTAAAAACCAATCGTAAACGAAACATTTACCCTTGTGAAGAAAATACAAATGAGATTGTACTTCGTTTTGAAATATTATAACGGATCCACGACTGTAATAAACGCAACTTAAATGATTAGCTAATATTTTATAAAATCCCTCGTTTGCATTTGAGAATATGTTACATTTGATCAACGTCGACCTGTACAGGGGATACACGAGTTGATCGTGTAAATAACTTGGAAATTGTTCGAATGTTTTTTTTAAATTTTCTCCCCTCGATTTAGACCATACGTAATTATAATAAGATAAAACTCTTTCTATTACTTTATCGTCGGCATTTTCAAATTCTAAAAATTTAACGAGTGACGTTATTTTTTCTTGAAAAATAATTTCACCTAAAAATGTGAAAAAACAATCCGCGACCATCGTGCAATACACGTAATATGAAAAAATGGCACCGATCAAACTCAATACGAATGACATTTTCAATTGAAATTCTCTAAATATTTCCAAATTTAAATTGTTTGCGTTCAACGACGATATCGTCCAATAACATATGTATATATAATATTCGTGTAGGGATCCGTTGGGTCTGAACGTTGCATTATCGTAATATTCTTCGAAATCCGGGACAACTTCGAAATCCACTATTCTATACGGGGATTCGTAAATCCATTCCGCGAAATAAAACATGCAAAAATTTATGTGAATGTTTAGAGTAATGAAAAAAAATAATATAATTTTAGCCATATGAACGAAATATTTATCGTAAAGAGTGAGCGAATCCCTTCCGAAAAAACCAATCACGTGTATGAATTTTAAATAATATTGAAAAAGGCTAAATAAAACCGTCCAATATGGTAGTTTTTCCATCGAATCCGATATCCCGTACCTCACGATTGAATAAAATGGGAAAAAACAAAGTAGGTCGACGGTGAGCGCCGTATTTAAATAATGTTTAAGCGTGTAAAAGGGATGGTATACCAATATGCCATTATCGTTGTAATACGGAGTCCATATGTAAAATAATATGTTTAATACGATGACTATTTGGGATGCGACGAGCATTGGGAGTAAAACGTGGGATGCGTAGGCTAATATTCCGAAACAAGATGGCCAAAATATGTTTAATAAAATAACGTAAATTCCGAAAAATAATTCCCATTTTTCGAAAAATTTCAAACTGTTGTAACGATTACCTCTGTCGAAAAAAAAATATATGCTCCACAATTTTTTCGACCAAAGCGATTCCTTGCGATCTTTTGTTAGGAAAACTTTTTTAAATAAATTTTCTTTGACTCCGATCAATCCGGGTTTGACGTTTTGTAATTTTTCCACAAAATTATTTTCGATCAAAGCTTCCGTAACGTCTTTCAACATGTCAAAATGTATAAATATATTAACCAAATCGTTGACGTGTATCATAATCAATTCGCAATCCGTTATAGTTATCACTCCAACGGGTACGGGTGTACCGCAGAGGGTTGACAATACGGGAAATTCGTAACCCGGTCCCACCGCCATGGGCCATCCTAAACCCGCCGTCGTGTCTTTAATTAAAAAACTATTTACCTGACACGTTCCTCTGTGAACGATGGATAATGTGTGACTTATGTCACCGTATGTGACTATTATCGAACCCGCTGGAACTCCGACGAAAGAACATTTTTTCATTACGGCCATGAGAAGATCGTTTGATTCCAATTGAAACATTTTACAAATTTTCAATGTGTGATAAATGCTTTCGAGAAAAATATTTTTTTTTATATCGAATGATGAAAATTTCAATATCGGGGATTCGCTTGAAAAATTATCCGCGTGTTCGTAATCCCATTGAAATTTAAAATTTTTAAGTAATTGTTTTTCAACATCCGCGCTAAATCTAATACTTTCTATGAAAGCCCGAATCCTTTTCAATAAAACAATAAACGTACCGAAGCTGAATATTTTTATTATAAAACAACCGAAAAAATTACCTAAAAAATAAGCTATTATTAAAAAGAAAACATATTTTTGTGTTGATTCCGATACCAATTCCATTGTTTTTTCACAATACACGTATAAATCCGTTATTCCCAATGCGTTTAATAAAACGTTTATAAATGAAACGAGTTGAACTCTGACATTTTTCCTTCCTTTACCGCTTAAATATCTTGTTATCCAATTTTCCTTGGGACCGTTTCGGACTTCGAGTGAATAATAATAAATGTGCAATCCCGCGGCAAAAAAATACACGCATACCAAATATATTATGAAATTTTTTAAAAAATTCATAAAAACCATGTAAGAGCCCAATGGTATTTTAACCGTAACGAAAACGTGAAATTTCAATATGGCCGGATAAAGGAACAAACCTACTTCGTACGATTTTAATTCGTTGTATTTAAGTATAATAAATATTTGATACGGAAAAGCTGCCAATATGTCGAGATAAAATGTCGGCTCTCTCAGTTTTTGTAATAAAACGGATCTGAATTGCGTTATTATGTTGTGTTTTGTTTTTTTTGCCGTCAATAATTTTAATACGACGTCTACTAAAAATATTGTCGTTACTACAAAACTCAATTTGTAAACCAAAATTGGATATTCATCCAACCAAGCCGTGCTGAAAGGGTACACGATCATTGGAAAAAATGATACGAATTTAATCAATGTGTTCCACGATCGAAGAAACGAAGCCGTTGGATCGATTGACCATGGGAAATTGGTACGCAAGCACACAGCATCCCTTTTCTCTTCGAAAGCATTGCTAAGTACGAATAATTCCAAATAATTCGATATGAATTCAATTTTTATTTCCGGTTGTAATAGAGTTCTGTGAAATGAAGGTATACGTTGTCCTTCTTCAATTGCTTTCATCGTTAATTTATGTCTTATGTGTCCCTCAGAAATGGCGACCCATTGAGTTTTGATCCATTTCACGCAATCCTCGACGTTCGATTGAATGTTGTATGCTTCTCTACTATCGTCGAATCCGAATGTTGTTTTTCTCCATTGCGTGTATTTGGCCATTTTTAATCTTTCCTTTAATTTTTTAAAAACTAAAATCTTATCTTTCGGATAATCAATGAATACTTTTGCCAAATTTTGCATTGTCAATATTTGAAATTCGCAATAAGTCATGCATTTTATTATGGCCGAACTTTTCGTACATAAAAAAAGTGACGATTCCCCGAAAACGGTTCCGCTTGAAAATGACAATAGGGGTGATTTTTCATTTTCCTCCGCCATTATTTGAACCATACCCTGTATTAGAAACAACATTTTCTCTCGGTTTTGACCTTTGACGTATATTTGTTCTCCCGTGTGATAATTGACTTTCGTCACGACGAGTGATAACGTTCTCTTGCAACTTCTCGATATCGATCTCAATAAATCCGAATGACTGAACGCATCCCAAAAAATATCCGTGAAAATTTCTTTCTTCAATGCCAATGGTACATTTTCAAACAATTGATGAACGTTTGTCGTATTTTTCCACGAATCGAGAAAATTTTGTATGATTTTTTCTTTGACACTTTGATTTTTAATCATGTTGTCGAGAACTTGAACAAGTCTCTTATACTTGTCGTAATAAAGAGCTCTCGCGTAATTTAATTGTATACTTACGAGAAAAATAAATGGATAAAAATAAGCGTATATCAAAACCAAACCGAAAAACATGGCGAGAGCGGCTAAAACTATTTCCCACGTTGATGTCATGGATCCGTATTTCAAAGAAGAATTATGTATTACTATGGATTGTACTTCTAACATGTGCCATAGCAAGCAAGTATACGAGGATAAATCGCATTTTAGAGAATTTTTCATGTTTACCCATAAGCAACAAATAATTTGTGAAACCAATATAACCTTTGTGACAAAAAGAAAAATCATGTACAATATATAATTATGATATTTTGTTATTGTTTTCTCTACCAAGGATTCAAAATAAAATATCCTATATATTCTCAGCGTTCTGTTTTGAAATAAAATCCTTTCTAAATCGTCATTTTCGTTATTGGTCACGTAATAAAAACTATAAAAAAGTTCCGCCGGTATAATTGATAGAAAATCTAAAAATATGAAAAACCAATTTCGCGGAGCGGTAAATTTTATTTTCCTATATTGTATGTTCCTACGATAAGACAATATGAAAACAACGTCTAAAAAATAAAATGCATCAAATATGTATCTCAATACCGCCAATTCCGTTTTATAAAAATGAAATCCCAACTGACTTATACATATTAAAAATACCAAATAACATTGAAATGTTATTATCATTATCCACCATTTACTAAATGATATGACTAATACGATACTTTTCCACTTTGAATAATCTTCTAGTCCTAATTCGTTTATTCGAGCTAAATCCATTTTCTATTTTCCTTTTTCTTTATTCTTTATATATATATATATATACATATATATATAAAAAAAAAAAAAAAATCTACGTGAAATCCATAATTATAACAATAATAATAATAAATTATTATTTACAAAATATCAATTATTCTTATGACACTTTTTTAAAATTTTTACCTTTTTTTTAAATATTTTGAAAAATTTTTCGAAATCGTCGAACTAAAAGAAAACAAACATTTTTTTTTCCCGTTTAATATTCAATATAAAATTATAACGAAACTATTGTTATTATTATTATTATTATTTATTAAAAATGCAATCAAATATTAAATATTTTATTCGCATTATATACGTTTTTCTGTGGTCTAAAATAAATAAAAATACAAATTTAATAAATAATGTGTATTTTTTTTAAATATATGTTAAAAGTGATAAAATAAAATAAAAAACAAAACTAACTAATGACTAGAATTCCAAATCAAACCTGAATAAAAACTGGAATGGTTTTTTTTTTTTTTTTTTTTTTTTTGTAACAATTAAAATCGATAATCGTCATCGTCGTCGTCGTCGTCGTAAAGCGATTTCCAATTTATCGAATGAAAAAATGGATGGCATTTTATATCTTCGGCGCCATTGACGGCACTTCCAAGTCTTTCTCTTGGTTCGTGCCTAAGAAGCTCCGTGAGAAGAGAGCAAGCTTCCGGTGATAAAAAATCAGGGAATGTGAGTGTTGTGTGTTGCAAAATCCCTTCCGGATAACATGAAATCAATTCCTTTAAAACCAAAAATAAAAACAAATTTGTTAAACGAAACATGTTTCTAAAAAAACACGGGGGTAAGTAAACAAAACATTTAAAACGTTCACCTTTCCTGTTAATAATTCAAAAAGCAAAACACCAAAACTCCACCAATCGACGGCGGGAGTGATTGGAAAAACGGTAAAATTTTCTGGTGCCACGTATAATTTTTTAACGGCTTCCTCGGATAAAATCGAATCAACTTGTTTCCATTCGGCTTTGAAAGTGAGAAGAACATTTCCGGAATCGTTAAGTAAAATGTTTTTCGGATGTAAATCACGATAAATGACTCCGTAGTGGTGCAAAGTTTCCAATGCGACAACAATTTCAGCCGCTCTATGTCTAATAACGGATTCAGAGCATTTATAACAACTTTTTAATTTTTTTATTTCCTTTATCGAATTTAGATTATCATTTTTTTCCGTTAAATTTTCCAAATCTGATTCCGATTCTGATGTTTCCTAAATTAATTATAAAAAAACCAATTAATAATATTAATAATAAAAAGTGAATATAATAACTTAAAAAAAAAAAAAAAACAATTAACTAACGTGAGAGCAAATGAATTTATCGTCGTCCGCCATTAAATTTGAATTTGATAAATTTTTTGAATTGAATTTTTCAAAATCATCCGATTTAGAATTTAAATCAAAAACCGTTTCGATATTAATCAATTCTTGACTCACGGCATTTGTAAGAGTTTCGCTTTTTTTCAATGTTTTTTTCACCGAATTAAGTAATTTTTGAGAATTTTCAACTAAATCGATAATTTCTAAATTTTTAAAATCTAACGTTGTCTCGGTTTCTTCGAGTGCTTCGTTTCCATTTTCGGTTAATATGGACGACGTGTTTTCATTTTGCAAAGACTCCAATGATGATGATGGCGTATCGCTTTCCTCGTAAACATTATTAAATAATTTATATTTTTTTACGTCGTCCCTAATTGACCTAACATTATTTTGAGACTCGGCGACTTTATTAAGGGTGCCTTTACGAGATAATTTATTTTTTAAACAATTGACTCGTGTTTCTCTTAGCCATAAATTAATTATAGAATCGTCATTGAATCCATCCAATAGTTTACCACCTTTTGCATATTCCAAAACTAAGAATAATGAATTTTCATTTTCGAAATATTTAAACAATTTTACCATGTAAGGCACATTTACCGGAATGCAAGTTTTTTTTTCTTTATCAAAAGGAGAAGGTGATTTTTGTAAAACTTTAATCACATAATATTTTTCATCTTCTTTATTCACGACCAGCATGACGGATTCTAATATTTTTAATACTTTGTACATTTCTAATTTTTCAGCTGTTTCAATTTCATCTTTGTCTGTTATATTATTATCACGAACCATGTGAGATAAATAAATTGTTTCGGCTTTTGATAAATATTGTTTTATTTTCTTTTCAATGGCTTCCAATTTTTCAAAATCAAATTTTTCTCTACTGCATTGCATTCCTTTCCAAAGACAAGAAATGCTTGCTTTGTAAAAACTAAATGCAGCCTCAAATTCTTCTTCGATTTCAAATTTTTGAGCTTGGCCAACATAATAGGCAGCTTCAACTAGATAATCTCTTTCGCTAGATGATGAATCTAAAGGTAAAAAGATTGGATTGGGATTTTTTAAATTAAGCGAAAATAATGAGTTATCTGAAATAAGAGGATCTGCATTCACTACAACCCATCCATCATTTGACTCCAACTGACTTTCTAATATGCAATCTGTTTTATTTTTACTAATATTTATTAGTTGTAGAGTTGAATCATTTAAATTGTTTACTTCTTCTGCATTTAATGACTTGACAACATCATCTGCATCCACAGAAAAAGCTACTTCATTTTTATTCAAACTATCATGTAGTTCTACAACACTATCATAGCTACATTTTTTCAAAATTTCTTTTTCAAAAGATTCAGTTAAACAACTTGATCGAATCGGACTCAGACATTTAGGTTCTGCACAGTTACTTTCATCAAATTCTAAAAACAGGTAGTTTGGTTTGCTATTTTCATTATTTATGTAATTGCTACAAAAAAAAAAATACAATAAGTAAAAATTTTATTGTTTTTGGTTTTTCGAAAAGTAAAGGTAAAGAAAACCACCAACCTTTTCCTACCAAATGTTTTAGGAGAGCTACCTCCAATATTAGAAACTTGATTGAATAATTGAGGCATGTAGGTATGACAAAAAAAAAAAAACAGCAAAATAAATCGAGTTAAATTTAAAGCTCTTTTATGCTTCTTCAATTGAAGTACTCAAAATTAATCCTAAAAAAATTTTATTCAATTGTAAAATATCGAATGGTTAAGTATTTAAAAATAAAAATATTATGCAATAAATAAACGCCTAAGTGTATTTAACAACTTGTTTTAAAAATAGGTATTAGTGACTTCAACAGTTGACTGCATTTTATAGTTCAAAATATTTTAATTAAAATTTTAAAAGATAAAAAATTTTTTAATGATATTTTATCAATTTTTTTTTGATAACGCATGATTACTAATTACTGAAAATTCAATATTTAAGTAAAAGTATTATTTATACTGATAAAATGTACTGACATAGAAAAAAATTTAAGTAAAATTTTTGTTTTTTGCTGAATTAATTATAAAAGACAAATAGCGTATATACACTTTGCAAGACTAAAAACACCCGCAAAAAATTAATTTGATTTAATTATATATGTAAAAAAAATTAATTAATTAATTTTCTTTTTGAATATTATAGACAAAGTATTTTCGTTTTGAAATTTTTTAAACGTCACATAATTTAATTTAAACCGAATAAATTAATTTTTGGGAAAAAAAAAAAAAAAATATATTTTTAATTTTTTACTTTAAAGAAACTTAAAAAAAAAAAAAAAAAAAAAAAAAACCAACTAAATATTAATTGTTAATTAAATTAAAAAACGTAACTTACCATTGACGTAATTCAATTTAACTTTACATTTCTGCCTGTTTAAATAGACTTCAAGGCGTTATACTTATTTTTTTTTTTTTAACATTATAAATTTGTCATTACTCAACATAAAATGAATCTAAAAAAGAATCAATTCATTTTGAAGTAATTTGAATCATATACATTTTGCATTTATTGTTATACAAATGATAATTATGTTGGCAAAAGTGATACCGTATTGGTAGTAGCGTTCCCATTATCTACTTTATTGATAATTGTTTTCATCTATGACGGACTTTTATTTTTATTCAAATCTATATGTCAGATAGTGATAGTGATTTTGAAGAGGCTAACGAATATACTGGACTCATGGATGGTCATGTTGCTGGTGAAGTAGTCATGGAATCGATAAATGATAAAAATAACAGAAAAAAAAAGACTCAAAAATCACAACAGAGTGACGCACAAGTAATTTTTTTTTTTTTTGTCCTTTCTAAAATGTTTTCTTTCTACCGCGTTTAGTATTTTTACATTAAGTTTATTCGTACACTATTTTTAAGTAAATAAAATGAATTTTGATCTCTTACCACCTTAATGTCATTGTAGAGTGCTTCAACAGAACCAGAAGTGCCAGAAAATGTTACTCAAATTGATACAAGGTCCACAAATAATGGTAATCAAGCCAATGATGAATGGCAAGAAGAACTCGAATTGAAATATGGTGCCAAACATGTTATAAAACTATTCGCACCCGTATCTTTATGTATGCTTGTAGTAGTTGCTACTATTAGTTCTATTAAATTTTATACTACTAGTGATATGTATTTGTTAGTGTTTTACTTATAAAATTTTATTATTAATCATCTGTTTAAAATGTTACAAATACCTAATATATTGTTTATTTTTTCAGTGTATATACACCATTCCATGAAACTGACTCTAATCCAGGCACAAAAGCCTGGAATGCAGTAGCTAACTCTCTTATACTTATTGCTGTGATTGTTGTTATGACTATAGTATTAATTATTTTGTATAAAAAACGATGTTACAAAACTATTCATGGATGGCTCATTGCATCTTCACTGATGCTTCTTTTTTTGTTTTCATATCTTTATTTAGAGTAAGTCTTGTCAAATAGGTTGATGAATTATCTACAATTAGTAAATTAATGTCACACACATACAATTAGTTTTTTAAGTGTATTTAGTTTTTAAATTATTAAAGTATTTTAATGATGGCATTTATAAATTTATGTAAAAAAAATAAAAAAGATGTTTACTTTTAGGGAAGTTTTAAGAGCATACAATATTCCAATGGATTATTTTACATTAACCATAATAATGTGGAATTTTGGTGTTGTCGGAATGATTTGCATACATTGGAAAGGACCCCTTTTACTTCAGCAAGCCTATTTAATTTTCATAGCTGCTTTAATGGCTCTAGTTTTTATCAAATATTTACCAGAATGGACGGCTTGGGTAGTGTTAGCTGTTATTTCAATTTGGGGTATGTAAAAATTGTGTTAAAAATTCACAAATATATATATTCATATTTAATTAAATAATCGTTTTTTTTTCATTTTAATTTTAGATTTGATTGCTGTATTGACTCCGAGGGGTCCACTTAGAATTTTGGTTGAAACGGCTCAAGAAAGAAACGAACAAATATTTCCAGCTCTTATTTATTCATGTAAGCTAAAAAAAAAAAAAAAAAAAATTTCAATTAAATTCTAATTCCTAATTCCTAATTTGTTTTTTTTTTAGCCACATTTATGTACAATTACGTGAATATGACATCAGAGGAGACTAAAAATCCAACTTCGTCACTTAAAGAATCAAATAGTACTAGAAATTTCGAAGAAGATCCAGAAAGTGGATTTGTTAGAGGATGGATGAATCCGCAAAGAGCAAAGAGAAGAAATGAAGAAATTCAACAAAGCGAAGTAAGATTTCATCCACAACAATCAGAGGGTCATTCAAATCCTGGTCCAGTTGGTACAAATGCTGTTACAGTTGAAGAAGAAGAAAGTAAGTTTTTAACAAAAATTTTTTCCCTTTAAAACTTCATTTGTCCAATTTTCGGAGTCAATATAATTTTTTTTTTTTTTTTCAGGAGGTGTAAAACTCGGACTGGGAGATTTTATATTTTACAGTGTTTTAGTTGGAAAAGCTTCTTCTTACGGTGATTGGAATACAACCGTTGCATGTTTTGTTGCCATTCTAATTGTAAGCAAATACATTTAATTTTTCTAAAAGATCCTAAATTGATTTCGATTAAAAAAATTTTTTTTTTTTTTTTTTTTTTTTGTTCCCCCCAGGGCTTGTGTCTGACTCTACTTCTTCTAGCTGTGTTTCGTAAAGCTTTGCCAGCGTTGCCAATATCCATAACTTTTGGCCTTATATTTTATTTTACCACAAAGAAAATAGTCAAACCTTTTGCCGATAATTTAGCTGGCGAACAAATATTTATTTAACTTTGACGTTAAATAATATTCCTAAATGGATAATTGAAAAATTATCGATCGTCACAAAAAGTTTTAAAGCTTTTTCTAAATAAATAAATTTCACGAACGAGAGAGATAACCTTTGGGTAAAACAATAATTTTTAATCAATAACAAAAAGCCGAAAGCTTTTATTAATTACTACTTACATATATGTGTATATATAGATTTTTTTCGTTTAATTTTCACTTAAAATAAGTTAGTTATTTATTATTATTTTTCTAATTAAATTTTGTTTTATATTTATTTAATATAATCATTAATCGAAGTTTTTGCAAATCCATTTCAATTGATTTTTTTTTTCGATTATGCGAAACTAAAATTGATGGTTGTTTAATTCCTCCGATCGTTCTTATCGGAATATTATATTTTGTATAGTGACTTTGTAAAAGTTTCTAAAAAAAAAAAAAAAAGACAAAATGTTTTTTTTTTTTTTCCCCCATGGCGTTAATTATTAATAGTTTAAACTTATGGTATTTTAAATAAATAATTTACAAGTATTAATTTAGTGAGGTATACTCCGAAAAGAAGCATTGATATTGTCATAAGAGAACCTTCCATAGAAGGAAAATGAAGTGCAGCAAATCGAGCTTTTCTATAACCTTTAGGATGAAATAATTTTTTTATTTGTAACTCTTAAAAAAAAAAAAAAAAAAAAAAAAAATTATTCTGTGATTTTTAATTAAACAAAACTATTTGAAAATAATAATAATATTAATAATTAATAATTACCTGATTCTAACATTAATTTTTCTCCTAAATTTTCAATAAAAAATGATTTTTTTTCATATGTTTTTGGTATTTTATTATTTTCCTTAATAATATTTTTTAAATTTTCCATTGTGATTTCCCAATCGTTTTCCTTTTCCCTTACATATTCTTTATTAGTTGAATAACTCATTATTGTTAAATTATGAAAATCAGGACAAACATCATCAGAAAATGATAAATTTTTTTTTATTTCCATATGTTGAGATTCATTTTTGTATAAAATTTCAGACTGTATAATAATATCCATTGATTAATATATACAATAAATTTTTTTTAAAATGATATCACTATTTTTTATTATTATTATCTTAACTTAAAAAAAAAAAATTAAAAACTTACCTGATTAGGTATGATTGATGGTACTAAAATCCATTCACAAAAACAAAAATTATAAAAAAACAATAAAATTATAATAAATTTTTCCATGATAATTTTTATTATACTGATGGTTTAAACAATATTATCTTAACTATTTGGATAAGCATGAGGACTTTTGTATGACACGCTCTTAATGACATGTTCTTAATTAAAAAAAAAAAAAAAATGGAAAAAGTAGTCCAAATACTTTTTTAACACTTTTAAAACATTAAATTTAATTTTAGTGTTAGTACGTTTTTTTGAAAATTAATCCCTGGTACAATATCTGAATTTAAATAATAATAAAGTTTTTTTTAAAATTATACTACTGGGTATAAATTTTATGTTACTAATTTATAATTTATAAATTTTTTCTAACGATATTTATAAAAATTTAGTTTTTTATAAATTCAACTCAAATATTATCTTCAGTTTTCTTTTATATTTTTTATTATATATAGTAAAAGTTGCAAATTAAAATGTGAAAAATTAATTATAAGAATTAAATGGTAATAAAAAAATGAAAAACCAACCAAATTGCGTACGAGTCGATGATAAAATAAATTATACTATAAATTATACTAAAAATTATACTATATTATTATCACGATTAATTAATTAAATCATTAATTTAAAAAAGAAATGATTAAAACTTACACATACTTCATTTACTATTTTTGAAAATTTGACGCCATATTTAAATTTTGTTTAAAAATTTTCTATTTTAAATTTTTAACGAAGTTGGGGTAAATTAATTTGTAAATTTAAGATATTTAAAAGATAAAATTATTATGCATTTCTTTTAAATGAAAAAAAAAAAAAAAAAAAAAAACTTACCTTTTTTTGCGTGACAAATTATAACCGTCAGTTAAAAGAACGTTTTAAAATGTAATCTCACCGCCTTCGAGTGTAAATATTTTGAATCACATGATTTCGTCTGCTTTGTAAATCAATTCATGTTTCAAAAATCAGGAAATATTTTATTTATATAAATATATATATATTAAATAATTAAATAATTTTTATAAAAATGGGTGCTTCGGCTGTTGCTATTGCAGTATTTACAGTTTTATGGGGAATAGTAGGAATATTTTTACCAATAATAGTACCAAAAGGACCAAACAGAGGGTAATTATTTTTACATTATGTTATTATTTTTCACCTTTTAAAAATTTAATAATATTTTTTTTTCTTTTAGGATTCTTCAAGTTGTGCTAATTCTGACTGCTGTAACTTGCTGGCTATTGTAAGTATTTAAAATTTTATTTATTAACCAATTTAAATTATTCTTTTTTTGTTGGAAACTGTTTTCTATTTATTTATTTTTTTTTTTAAAAACTAACCTTTTTCGATTTGAATTTGTTTTTCAGTTGGTTGTGCTGCTATATGGCTCAAATGAATCCATTGATTGGACCTAAATTGAGTAAAGCTACAATTCTTATAATGAAACAATATTGGAGCTAAAACATATTTAGGAAATTTAATTTGATAAATTTTTTTTTTTTTAAATTATTTACCGCCCTGTAATCACCAGAAGAGAAAAATAGCATAATAATGTATATTGTAATAATCAAATATTTAGTTTAGTTATATTAAAATGCTTAATTATTAATTGTTTTATCATATAAAATAAATGTAATCAAATATCAATGAATATTATCAAATATCTTAAGAAAATCATTTTCTGTACAGTAAACTCGGCATTTACTATTTTACATTCTACATCATATTAAAATATTGTAATCGAATTTCATATTTGTAAAATTTAATTATTTTTTACTATTTTTTTTAACTGTGTATAAATGAATTAATATTAAATTTATTTTATTTTGTTTTATATAATCAATAATTTCTTGTAAAAGTATTTAAACTTTCCATATATGTAGCAATGGAAAAAAAAAAAAAAAAAATTAACAAATTTTTTATAAGTGTTTCGAATAAAATACTTTTCAATCTTTGTTATATATTCCAATCATTACCATTATTTATTGTATTTATTAAATGTTACAAATATTAAACATTATTATTATTAAAAATTGTAATTTTATTATTTATAAATATATATAGTTTTTTTTTTTTTCGAATAATTGTTTACCATTTATTTAATCCCCAAATCTTTAATTAAAAACTTTTTTTTTTCGGTTTCTTAGAGTTTTACTTTTTATTTTGGACACAATATAATTTTACTTATTTTCAAATTATGGTGGGTTTAATTAAATTTTCCCTGTTATTACTCAAAAAAAAAAATTATTTAAAAACGCCGATGAATAATAATATTAAAAAAAAAGTTAAACAATAACAATAATATTATTATTATTAATGTTGAAAATACTTGGCTCTTGAATAAAAAAGGAACGAAAGAACAAATATTTCGAGAAGGTCGTAACAAATCATAAGGTATAAAAATGTTAAATTAAAATAACCATTTCCTATAACAATTTATTATCAATCTAAATTTTTGTAATAAAATTAAAATTTTTTTTAACATGATTCAAAATAAAATTTTTAAGTTTAATTTTAATTAAAATTTAAAAAAAAGGACTAACCAAATGGCAAAAAGTGTAAGTAAACGTGTAATTTATTATTATTATTATTATAATTAATATTATATTTGGTAAACATAATATATATATTTATCATAATAAACCCATCCGTTGAACACCAGAATTGTTTTATTGTTTTTTTATCTGATGACCGGCTAGTATAAAAAGCTCACAAGTTAAAAAAATTGATTAAAAAAAAAAAAAAAAAATTTTAGGGAGGAATAATTTCAGTTCACGTCGGACAAGCGGGATGTCAAGTGGGAAATTCCTGTTGGGAAATGTATTGTTACGAACATAGAATTCGTCAAGATGGAATTGTTTGCGATCGTGATTTATGTCCGCCTTGGTCATTTTTTTCTTCAACAGGAGGAAATAAAGTAGTGCCTAGAGCCATGTTTGTAGATTTAGAGCCAACAGTTCTCGGTAAACGGATTATAATATACCCTTAAAATAATATAATTTTTTATTTAATATAATTTATTGATAGATGAAATCAGAACTGGTAGATTTAGATCACTTTTTAACCCTCGTAATTTAATATCCGGAAAAGAAGATGCGGCCAATTGTTTTGCTAGAGGGTATTTTACGTTAGGAAAAGAAATTATTGATTTGTTATTACATCGCCTACATAATTTGGCCGAAGATTGTGATAATCTTCAAGGTTTTCTTATATTTCGAGCTTATGGCGGTGGTACCGGTTCGGGATTAACCGCACATCTTTTAGAAAAATTAGATGTTGATTATCCGAAATGTAGTTTAATGGAATTTTCCATATATCCAGCACCTAAGGTATATAATATTTAATTTACAAACAATTTTTAATAATTATTCGAAATAAAATTGTTTTTTATTTTTTTCAAAAATTTCAGTTATCGTCTATTATCGTGGAACCTTATAATGCCGCATTTGCAACTCATTTATCATTAGAACACGCAGAAGGTTGTTTTCTTATCGATAACGAAGCTTGTTACGATATTTGCGATCATCTTTTGGATGTTTGTTCTCCGACATTTAGCAACATAAATTGTTTGATGGGTCAAGTGGTATCTGCCGTTACGGCATCACTTCGATTTCCGGGTGATATCAACGTAGATTTTAAAGATATACAAACAAATTTAATACCCTATCCTAGAATTCAATTTCCTCTTATAAGTTATGCTCCTTTAATGTCAAAAAAACAAGTTCTTTATGAAAATAATTCAGTTAATTCATTGCTTGATGCTTGTTTTGAACCTTCTCATCAGGTTTGCCATCGATAAAAAAATTTTCCTTTTGATATTTTCATAATAATATATACATAAACATTTTTTTTTTGTTTTATCCAGATGGTTAAATGTGATCCCAGAAAAGGTAAATACATGGCTTGCACTGTTTTATTCCGAGGTGATATTTCTAGTTCGAGTATAAGTTCAGCAATAAATTCATTAAAAGTTAAAAAAGCGGCTAATTTTGTCGATTGGTGTCCAACCGGATTTAAAGTAATAAAACTTTGATTTTATTAAAATTTATTTATTTATTTATTTATAAAAAAAAAAAAAAAAAAACTCCCAGGTAACTTAGTTTTATTTTATTTTAATTTAGGTTGGCGTTAATTCTCAACCTCCAATTAACGTACCTGGAGGTGATCTTATTGCAACCGATCGATCTTGTCTAATGTTGGCCAACACCTCCGCCATAAAATCAGCTTGGGAAAAAATCGTTAGTAAATTTGATTTAATGTTTGAAAAAAAGGCTTTTTTGCATTGGTACGTTGCCGAAGGACTCGATGAAGCTG